TCCTGATTCCTTACCGTACTGATGAAGCCTGAAGGCAGTTACATCAGTGTGCACTAGTGTAGATGTGGTTGTGTGAGTGTGTGAGTGTGCGTGTCTGCACTGGTGTACATTTGGTGTATACGGTTACGAGTAGCTAATTTTTGTCGCATAATTATAGCTTTATATCTAGTTTTAATTCTGTAATAATTAAAATATGTTTTAAACGTGTATCTTATCCCTTGAGTATTTTACTCTACAATCTTTAGTTTTTGTTAAATTAACAAAAGGTATATCACACATCCACCTAGATTTTTTCAAATAATAAAGATTTACTAACGCAAAATCATAAAAATTAAAATATCTAGGAAAATCTTTGTCTGAGTAAGCAACTTTAATAATATTTTGAAGATATATAAATTCCCCATTCAACACCGGAGATCTTCACTAAGAACAACAAATTTTCAAACATATACATAGAACTTGTTATTGTTAGAAACAAATGCAATACGACATAGTTGTTGAAGATTTTACAGCTACGGATGTGTTAGGTATAAATATAGATAATAATTTCATATGCAAACAAACAATCTTCCCAAAGCGCGCATCATACATTTCGAATATCTAAATAATATTATAATTACAAATTATAAACAAATTATATTAATAAGCCGAGATAATGATATGAGTTGTTTAATAATATATGAGTTCATTTAATTGAATTCAAGATTTATAAATATCTTTACACTGAATGTCAAAATAAAACATATATGATCTAAATAAATATTTGTTACCATACCAGTAAATACATGATACTTCGATAACAGCCTAAAGAAATATTTAATATTTTTGAAAAATTTATGTTTATTCGTCTAATCTATCTCTATTTATTTTGTTTAAGTAAAGTTTATTGAATATACAGGGTGTCCCAATATTCCGTAGATATAGAACTATTACGTATTTTTGGAACCAAAATAAGTTAATTGTAAAAGTAAGTTAATAATTTTGTCCGCTAGAGGGCATCAAACTTTTAAAAAAAAATCAGGTATTTTAGGAACCGTTTATTCCGATTTGAATGAGTTTTTGGGTGTCTATGTTTTGCTAAGTGCTTTAACATTTGACTTTAACTCTCAACTGGGGCGTGGTGAATTTTGTAACGTTTATGGCGTGTTGGGGTCCGACGGATCCCAATTTTTTTTCACTTTAAAATACATGATGAAGAGATTTTATAAAAAGCTTGTTATTTTAACACTGTTTACAATATATTCAAACTTGTGAACAAACAATTTCATTAATTTTCAACAAATTAATAAGAACGGACACAAAAATAAAGTAAAACGCATTTTTTCGGAATTTTTGACAACAGAAATATAACTTGGCTAAGAAACCCATAGAAATTAAAAACATATATATTTTATGATTTTACCGTATTGTTAAAACAGTACAAAACAACTGAAATGTGAAGCTAAAGTAATCAACATAAATTATTTTTAACAAAACTGCAAACCTTGAATGTACATAACTTTTTCAAATACAGTTCATGCTAATGGTGCTAATATAGGATCTGCATTTGCCGCACATGGATCGTGCACATTTGATTCATGAGATTTTTGTTTTTTGTCATTTCTTCATTGACATATGGTTGCCATATACCACATCTCTTTCTTTTCTGGTATTGATTATTCAATTTTCTCTCTTCTATAAGTAAGATATTCAGAATCGGAGTTCTGAAATTTAACCTTAATTTATTTTTTAATTTGAAGAATAACTCATTTTGTGTTTTGCGATGTTTTGTTATGATTTTTATAAATAAATATTTCAGTTTTTCTTATTTTTTAAAATATTTCATATATTTCCAATATTTCCATATATTTCCAATGTTTCAGGAAATATTTCCGAAAATATATTTCTGGAAATTTTACATCACTAATTACAGTACGTGAATGTATAAAAAAATCGTAAATATTTTAATATCAACTTGACATTTCTGACAAATCTACTATAAATTTTAAGGCGACCTTTTCGTTTGTTGTAAATCTATTATTAATATGTCAATTCCAGAGCCTGCATCATAGATACATATTTATTTTTGATAAGACGGTGTCGTTTACATTTAACAGTTTTATCTCTGTTCACATGCAGGCAATTTCTTTGAAAATGTCGTAATTTAGATCTTTTCTTGATCCTATAATTTACAGGTACCTACCTACTTGACACCTATTTATTGTTTTAATGCTCTTTAATGTAAACTGTCGACTTTAAAAGCGAGGAAGCACGTGTAAATTTATTTATTTCTAATTACTTTCGGCTTTAGAAGTGTCTAGAGTAAGCTAGATACATGTAAAGGAAATTTAAAATAGTTTTTTTTTATTGAATTTAAGTATTTTTTTAAATACTTGTGTAAAATTCAAACTTAATTTATAAAAAAAACTTTTAATAAACCTTTTTGTAACACCCTGTATATTTAAATATCTCTTTTAAATGGATCTTAAAACATATACAGTATGATCGAAAAAAAAACGGCGTCGAAGTCGGTTGAGGAATGACAAAAATCCCATCCCTAATATTGGGCACAGTAAAATTTGTCTTTGTTTATAATTTTATAACTATTGGAAAAATAACTAACCAACCAAGCCAAACTATTGGATAAATAACTATCGAATTACTGAGAGTTATCGATTTATTGATATATCGATAGGTATCGATAAAAAAAACTTAAGTAAAATTTGAGATCAATCAATCAATGATTATCGATAAATATCAATATATGTATCAACAGGTATCGATAAAAAATCCCATCTCTAATCCTGGTACCTTCGTTTTGTACAGTAAAATTTGTCTTTTATATAATTTTTTTGATAATTTTATAACTATTGAATACCGATAGTTATCAGTTTATCGATAAATATCGATAGGTATCGATAAAAAATCCCATCCCTAATTTTAGGTACTTTCGTTTTATACAGTAAAATTTGTCTTTCCTATCGAATTATTGATAGTTATCGGTTTATCGATAAATATAGATGTTTCGATAAGTATCGATAAAACAATCCATCTCTAATCTTGGGTAAATTGATAAAATTTGTCATAAAAAATCCCACGCCTAATCTTGGTACCTTCGTTTTGTACAGTAAAATTTGTCTTTATATAATTTTTTTGATAATTTTATAACTATCGAATTACCGATAGTTATCGGTTTCTCATCCCTGATCTTAGATACCTTCCTTTTTTTCCAGTAAAATTTGTCTTTTCTATCGAATTATCGATAGTTATCGGTTTATCGATAAATATCGATGTTTCGATAAGTATCGATAAAGAATCCCATCCCTAATCTAGAGTACATTCGTTTTGCAGAGTAAAATTTGTCTTTTTATACAGGGTGTCCTAGAAATAAGTGCAAGTATTTTAACTAGTAGTATAGTTCGACCCCAGAAACACCTGACGTTTTTTTCGCGAACAAAATTTTTTGTTTTTTTTTTAGTTTTTAGTTAAAAACCATAATTTCGTGATAATATGGCAACACAGGTATTAGATTAAATATACAAGAAAGAAAATACAGAAAAGATGCAGTCTCAAAATTTTAGCAAAAAATAATTTTTTTGGAAATTTTCAAAGTAAAATAACTGCGTTATTTTGGACTTATTTGAAAAACTATAAAGAGAAAATATGTTTTTTTATCGAGATCATCTACCACCCCTTAAAATCTTAAAATACTTGCACTAATTTCTGGGACACCCTGTATAAGTTTGCTGTGTTTTAAACTGAAATTATTGATTTTTCGTTCCATACATATAGGCCTGATTTAACAGAAACCAAATATTGCTTGCAGGTGCTGCAAAAGCCTCTGGATTTGGAACTGGATTTGACAGCTGACAGCGGAGGGAAGGATAAAATCTCAGGTACATGTGCCAGACTGTACATTCTCCAAGTTAGTTCGACTCCAGTCGACCAGCAGGAACCCAAGACCTACAGAGAAAATTACTTTAGGTAGGTAAAAGGTGAAACCTTAGATCATGTAACACATAGATACATACAGTCTTTTGTGGGCATTGTGGATTGCATGGCAGGGGGGGAAAGTTAATCACTGCGACCTTATTGATCTATTGTGTCTTCCTTTCTTGAGTTATAACTCATCATACAGTCTCAGGGCTTTGATAAAAGCCAGTATCTGAGACTGTTTTACAGAAGTTAGCTCCCCATATTCGTACCAAAGTTTACGGCACGAATGGTTGCACTCAGTGATGAGGTTGGTGTTTTCCCATGTTCCCTACAGAGTCTTCATTCGCCGTTGTTTCTCAGCTTCGGATAAGATGGCTATTTCTTGTTTCCGATAGTTTCTATCTCTTTCGTGGGCATGCTGAAGCCAACATTAATAACGGAATTAGGAATGCGGACCACGATCTTTACCTGCAAATCCCGAGCTCAGAACTAGAGATGTGTAGTTCCAATGAACTAGTTCCAATGAACTGTTCCCACCCCGGAATGAAAGGAACTAGCTTCTGGTTTCTCAAAGAACTAGTTCCTCAGGACCTATTCCGGTATCGAGACTGTGACTGATATTGAATAATATGCGACGGCGACGGATCGGCTAACGCGAGTAGCCCGATGGTAGGCAGGATGGGGTGAGTGCCAGCCGTACGTTTTCGGATCCGGACCTAGAGGAACTAAACTAATAAAGACTAGTTTACGGTTTACGTACAAACGGATCGGGCCAGCGCGATCGAGGCTAAACAGGAGTGGGGAGTGCCAACCTTATGCCGTATGTTATCGGATCCGGAACCTAAAGGAACTAGGGAACTAAATAAAAGACTAGTTTACGTACGGATCGCCCAGCGCGATTGATGCTAGGCAGGAGTGGGTAGTGCCAGCCGTATGTTGTCGTATCCGGACATAGAGGAACTAATTAAAAGACTAGTTTCACGGAAATCTATTCAGTCGCCAGATCCGAGATATAATACAAGGCGACGACGAATGATTCGGCCTTGTCTATTGGCACAGCCGGCGCGGCGTAATTACCCCAGAATATTGTCGTGGATAAGGAATGTTTCCATCAACTTTAGGTCTCTAAAATTAAGAAATATCTTATAAAACGAAGTAGATTATTCTGAATATTTTAGACAAACCAAAAAGTTAAGTGAGGAAAAATGCAATTTTTCTGTAAAATTTTTAGTAATATTTGCTCCAATTGATTTGTGATACTTTTTTATATTCTGATTTGGAGTTTTTTTAATTTTTTTTATCTGCAATAAAATTACCTATAATGTTTTTAGCATACACAATTACACGGCTCGTTATATCTCCGTACAATTATAAATAAATATACAGATTTACCTGTGAATAGTTCTGACTGACAACGAAACGCTTTAGCAAGCAAGGGGGATGTGAATGTTAGTCGGGAACTATTTTGAACTAAAGACCTAGTTCGAGGAACTAGAACTAAGGAACTAGTTTCTCCCAAGGAACTAGAAATTCCCACCTGCTACTCAGAACTAAACTAACTAAGTACTTAAAGGCTGAATACTGTATAGTGCCAAAAAAATGTACAATCATCTGCCTTTAGATATCAAATCGCTTTCATTCTTTCCCGCTTTTCGCAAAGCTCTGAAATCAAACTTACTGGAGAGAGCCCTATATGCGGTAAACGAACTTTTTGTTTTGAATGTTTAATCATGAACAAAAATTTTGAATTTTAAATTTTTTTGAATCATCATCTCACACATTGGTTAAAAATCTAGTATTTTAATATTTTATAACTCTTAAATGATTATATCCATTTACAAATTTTTCTATTGGTAAAAAGTTTTATGATGCGCCCTTTTTTTGTGTTCTGCAATCTATGTTCCATTTGTAATTTTAATGACGTAATTTTTTTTGAATTGTATTATTTGTACATTTTTGGTGCTTTTGTTTTGTTTTTTAAATGCTTTTTTTTTTTTTTTTTTTTTTTTTTTTTTTTTTGTACAATAAAGCGTTTATTTATTTTAATTTATTTATAACAACTAACCGAAGAATCTATATCCAGTACCCAGGAAAGTACATATAGTATTTCTCGAATATCCAAAATAGTCCAATAAGTAAAGTTTAGTTTTTTTTGTAGCACCAAAATAAAAATATTTCGATTAAATTTTAATAAATATTTATTTAGAAAATAAGCATGATATTGATCTTTATTATACAGAAGAACATTGATGCAAATGACGTAACCGTCATTGGCACGCGATTGGGGCATAATTTGTTTTATCCTAAACGCCGTATTAGTGCATTTGGCCAAAAATGCTCTTAATATTTAGAGAAGATCGTCGGTTTATATTTTGTGTATTAACATTTTTGGACTAACAACTAAAAATATCTATCACCTTAATTACAATCGGTCGCGAAATATGTTCGGCATTTTTGACTGCAAAAAGCTCAGAGAAATAGGTAAACCTAGAAGTGCTCTAACACATAATAATATATCTTTTGTTTTATTCTACAAGAGGAATAAGGAAATATATCATAGGATGGTAAAAAATATAATATTACAAAAAAAACAATGTGTGAACTATGTGTCATTATTTCTGTATCTGTACATTTTTTGTTTCCTCAAATACCTGCAATAACCACCCGAAATATCATTTATTGCAAATACCTAATACGTTAACGCTTTTTAAATTTTATTTAAGAAGAGAAAAATTTGAACACTAACCAACAATTCCGTATTTATAGTGGTTTACAGTAATTTTTGTAAATATTACGAATATACAAACCAAACAAACACGGCTCTTTATTATAAAAAAAGCCAAAAGAGCTTCATCGACAAAGCACTCAGAAACAACAAAATCACAAAGAAAATACAAACAAAAACAAAAATAACAATACAAATAATACAATTCAAACAAATTTAAGTCTTTAAAATTACACAAAGAATATACATGGACAAATTTAGAACAGACATACAGTAAATAGATATGATTTAGAGTTTATAAATATTAAATACTTGACCTTTGACCAGTGGTGTGAGTGATCAAAATTTTTAAAATTCAAAATTTGTTCATAATTCATCAACAAAAAAGTCGTTTAGCGCATCTCCAGCATCTCCTCTTTGGGCTCTCTCCAGTAAGTGTATGATTTCAGAGCTTTTTTGCGAAATGCGGGAAAGAAACTTGAAAGCGACTTGATATTCAAGGCAGATGATTTGTACATTTTTTTGGCATTGTTCAGTAATGAAACCTTTAATTAGTTCTGAGCTCGGGGTTTGGCAGATAAAGATCATACTCTGCATTCCTAAGTGGATAGTTATGAGGTGACCTTTCGGGAATAGCAGATATGTGCTTGGGGATTAAGCAAACGGATTCGAAAATGAATAAGGAAGAGTCAGTGTTTTCAAATTTTTAAAGAAATTCTGGCAGTTAGTTCTACTGTTCAGTCCCATAAATATGAACTGCTCTCTTTTGAAGTCCGAAAATACGATCAAAATTTGTTGCGCAGCAAGTACCCCAGAAAATGGAAGGGCATAACGAAGATGTGACTCAAAAAGAGCATAATTAATTAAAGGCTATTCTAGAGGTTGAGAAGTTAAGGCAGCGCTTAGTTTCTTTGATAGAGCTTCGATGTGAAAGTCCCATTTTAACGAGTTGTCTACAAGAACAGTTCCTAAGAACTTCACAGAAAGTCCTAAGAATGTCACAGAGTCCACGACGTCAATAGTGATGTTATTAAGTATAAAAGGTTTTTTTTTTTTTTTTTTTTTTTTTTTTTTTTTTAGTTTTTGATAGGTTTGGGCATAGGAGATTAGAATCGCACCAAGACTTAATAGTGCGGAAGTCACTGGATATAGTATCATATATTGCTGTAACATCTGGGCCGCTCTAAGTGAAACTAGTATCGTACTAGTACTATCGCAAAGAGGCAGATTCCGCAAAGAGGCAGATTCGCTAATGTCTAGATTTGCAATGTCGTTAATAAACAACAGAAACAAAATAGGGCCAAGAACTGAACCCTGAGGGACACCACATTCTAAAGGCTTACAAGAAGACATAGAACCGTATCAATTCCTCAAAAAGCTGCCTTCTGTTGCCAAGATACGACTTAAGCCATTCGAGCGGCACTCCCCTGAATCAATAGTATTGCAATTTGTTAATTAAGATATTATGATTTACACAATCGGAAGCCTTAGAGAAATTCACAGAAAATTGTAGCTTTAGAGTGATGGTTATTAACGAAAAACACGACCGTCTCGCTAGACTGCCAAACCAATTCTTGTTCATTATTAGTTTTGAAATTACTATGAACAGTTTCTTCCAAATGAAAATTGCAAGTTGCGTAACTCTTAATAATTCTAATTCTGAGCTAGAGGCTTTACCTAGACCGTTATTCAGAACCTATCGATGAAAATATCTCATGAAAATTTACTGCCTAGCACATAACTAGAGGATACTGGTACACAGATACAGTATTAAGTTTATTAAAGTGAATTTTCCTTAGTCGCGTATGGTACAGATCGTTTTACAAAGGGGTTGATCTACCCCGAACGGGTTAGCTGTGGCAACACCGCCGTTCCACTACTTTTCCTGATGCTAGTTCGTTGTGTTGTGCGCTAGCTTAGACAAGGAAAGGAGGAGACAGGTAACACGGCAGCTGAAGTGGGGCAACTTGTCACCAGGCGAAAGTTCCCAATGGCGTTGCATCAGAAATTAGCTTGCACCTAGACGGTACAAAATATTTATTAAAACGTAAACTAATATATCGTTCATTTTTGAGTAAAGCATATACATTTGTATTTTATAGTCTCAACCTTTTATTATCGTTAGAAATATCTAAGTCGATAATGCAAAATTTACCTATAAACAGTCACAGTGGACTGATTATCAAGACAATTATTTTATTTATTACGTGTGTATAATGTATAATAAAAAAATAGGGTAATAAACAATGTTTAAACGGGTATCGAATGACGTGTGAAATCGAAAAAAACAGGCGTCAGCAATGGCTATAAAATAAAAAAAAAAAAAAAATTGAATATAAAAATTACATTATTCATTGAATCCGTAAGCAAGTGGATAAATTGGCTTAGATTCATTATTGCACCGTATAATCGAAAAAACGACGTCCACTCATTTGTAACTGATCGATGACATTCCCTCATATAACTCACATATAAACACAAAAACTAAGTGTATATGTAAAATATATAAAAATGTTTATTGTAGAAATTGTATTTCCTGATTATAATTCCCTACGCCACAGGCGAAATCCAGGCTGAGTAGCATTATTTATAGTTCCAAACATTAATTATAATACAGGATATCGAAAATACCACTTGGAATTATTAAAATAGTTTGGTTTTAGATGCAAAAATTTGTAGATCCGGGGCTGCTATTCTTATAGTAATTTAGCAGCAATTATATAATATATAGTAATTGAACCAAAAATATGTTTATTTTGGCTTGTTCGTGTATATCAGTCACATTGACTAATCCATTTTCAGGGAAATCTGAAACCATTAATCTCTACCCTACCCATTTATACCCTATTATTACAACAAATTAAACTAAAATTCAAATTCTGTTCTTAACTTGCTTAAAAGACATATGAAATTTTGATAATAATTATTATTTTGTTTACAAATAAATACGCAACTGAAATCCATACCA